GGGGGGAGGGGGCTGCAGCCCCCCACGAGCTGCCCCCAGCCCAGGGAGACACAGGGAACTTCCAGAGACACCCCCATCCCACAGCGAGTCTTTATTCCTCTGGGAGCCAGGGGGGAAGGCAAGCAGGGGAGCAGCCAGCCTGGCAGGGACACCCCCAAAACCAGCCTGACTGTGTCCCCCTCCCAAACTCATGGCCATCCCCATTCCTGGGGGGGACACCCCACACCCAGCTGCATCCAAAAACCCCATCCGCAGCTCTGCTGAAGGTCCCCAATGGTGTCCCCAGGGCTGGGGGCACATCCCAGGATAAGCGTGGCACCGTGGCAGGGCTTCAGCTGGGAACAGGGGCTGCAGCGGGGCTGTGGAGGGACCGTCCCAGGGATGGAGAGACCACCCAGGGGATGGAGGGACCGTCACGGGGGATGGAGGGACCGTCCCAGGGATGGAGGGACCTTCACGGGGGATGGAGTAATCGTCCCAGGGATGGAGGGACCGTCACGGGGGATGGAGGGACCACCCAGGGGATGGAGGGACCTTCACGGGGGATGGAGTAATCGTCCCAGGGATGGAGGGACCCTCACAGGGGATGGAGGGACCGTCACGGGGGATGTCACCTTTCACCCATAAGCAGTTGTAGTTGCTCAATGTGCCCTTGGACTGGAGCCAGATGTGGGTACTCTCCCCAACTTGGGTGATGCCGGTGACCTCAAATCTCTCAAAGGGTGGGATGAGGACCTCCTTCTCTCCAGGGAATTTGGAGAAGTTCCAGATGGGAACGCCATAGCAGGTGTTCACAATGAAGAAGGTGTCCTGGCCGAAGATGCTCATGGCTAACATCTTATTGAGGGAGGAGGAGGTGAATTGGCCGAAGCGGAAGAGATCATTTTGCCGGGCGCTGAAGCGGATGCCTTCGACGCCCCGGAAGACGTTGTAGCACGTCTGGGGTTTGTGCAGGATTTTCATGGCCTGGGTCAGGAGGAAATGCAACGCCTTGAACTGGAAGTTGTCCAGGTATTCCCCAAGGGAGCTCCCAGCCATACGCACGGCTGTGTTGAACTTGTTGTACAGCTGTTCCTTGTTCTGGTGGTCCTCCAGGGTGTACGCCATGAGGGCCACCGCGTGCTCCGTCTTCAACGCTGATGGCTTGAGGACATGATCCTCCCGCTTCCGCCATTCAGCAACAGCCTTGGTCCAGTACTTGGCGTAGACTCTGTTGTTGGCAAACTCGGTGCGGTTGAGCTCCCCCAGCTCCTCCTCCATCATGCTCATGCAGCCCTTGTACTGGTCATCGAAGGAGGTGGGGACCATGTCCAGCTCCACCTCCTCGATGGCCTTGAGGTTCAGGGAGATGCCAGCGACCAGGATCCCAGCCAGCAGCACCAATGCCAGCACCAGGTGCTCCATGGACATGGACCTGTTGGAAAGGGTCCATTGGAGGGCCATGGAGATGCTCCAATGGCTGGAGCCCCTCTGCTCTGAAAATGGCAAAGGTTGTGACAAGGAGGCATTGATGGTGATGGCAGCTGGTGTCCCTCCCCGCTCCCCAGGCACTGCTTGGAGGACTCCCAGTGGGGGTGTGTGGGGGGCAGCACCCTGGTCCCCACATGGCTGCAGCCCCCTCATGTTCCCCCACGGTTTCTGGGGCTCCTTGGACAAACCCTGGTTACCCACCTGCCGGGAGGAAGGAGCCCAAATCCCTGGAACCTGCTGTGAATTCCCGAGGAGCTTCCCTGCAGCCGCTGCCCCGTCTGGGTCTCACCCTGCCCCGGGGGGAGACGGGCACCCTCGGGGAAGGGTTTGTGTCTCAGCGGTGGTCGGTGTGATGGTCACAGCCCTCCTGGTCCACCCTACCGCACCGACAGCCCATTTCTCTCTTCCTGGAAGGGACCAGACCTTCTCATAAAGGGCTGTGCTCGTGCAAAGGGGATGTGCGAAGTTGCTCACTGTGAGAAATTTTGTTTAACCTCCAGTTAACCTTTCGTTTCTGGCAATTTTTGTGTGTCCCCCCCTGCCTACCCCTTCCTCCTCCTCCACCACTGGTGGCTTCCCTTTAAGTGTCCACAGCGCAACGTGGCGTGGGGGGGACAGCATGGCGCAGCGCATGGTGGGGGACAACAGGGCACAGGACATCTTGGCACGCTATGGCATGGCATGACATGGCACAGCACAGCGTGACATTTCATGGCACAGCGTAGCTGGCATCTGGGGGACATGAACCCCTCCCCCAGCTCCTCCTCCATCATGCGGCCGCTACCAAGGTACTGGTCATCAAAGGTGGTGGGGGCCATGTCCAGCCTCATCTCCTTGGTGGGCTCCAGATTTCACCTGTGCAGGGGGTTGCCAGTGGCCAGAGCCCCGTCCAGCAGAAGCAATCCCAGCACCAGGTGCTCCATGGACATGGACCTGTTGGAAAGGGTCCATTGGCGTGCCAGAGGAGATGTTGCAATGGGTGGAGCCCCTCTGCTGGGAGGGGGGACTGAGAGAGTTGTGGGGGTTCAGCCTGGAGAAGAGAAGGCTCCGGGGAGACCTTGGAGCCCCTTCCAGTCCCTAAAGGGGATGGGGCTCCAGGAAAGCTGGGGAGGGACTCTGGATGAGGGAGGGGTGGCTGGTGCAATGGTCACAATATCAGAGAATCACAGAATGCTATGGGGTTGGAAGGGACCTCTGGAGATCATCCAGTCCAACTCCCTGCCAAAGCAGGTCCATCCAGAGCAGGTTGCACAGGAACGTGTCCAGGAGGGTTTGAATGTCTCCAGAGAAGGAGACTCCACCACCTCCCTGAGCAGCTTCTTCCAGGGCTCTGCCACCCTCGAAGGGAAGAAGTTCCTTCTCAGAGTGTGGCCAGCAGGTCGAGGGAGGTCATTCTCCCCCTCTACTCTGCGCTCGTGAGGCCACAACTGGAATCCTGCGTCCAGTTCTGGGCCCCCCAGTTCAAGAGGGACAGGGAACTGCTGGAGAGAGTCCAGCGAAGGGCAACAGAGATGATGGAGGGATTGGAGCATCTCCCTGATGAGGAAAGGCTCAAGGAGCTGGGACTCTTCAGCCTGGACAAGCGAAGGCTGAGGGGAGACCTTATTTATGTTTATAAGTATCTAAAGGGTGACTTGAAGGATGTTGGAGCCGGACTTTTTTCAGTGGTTTCCAGCGATAGGACAAGGGGCAACGGGCTCAAGCTGGAACATAGAAAGTTCCATTCAAATATGAGAAAAAACTTCTTTGGGGTGAGGGTGACTGTGATCCGATGCAGGCAGGACGCAGGAAGAACCACAAAACCATGGATTAAGGGCAAAGAACAATTTAATGTCAATACCTTATGGATGGGGGAACCTCTGAAGCAGCCCCTGGGCAGAGGCAGGCAAGCAGGGGATGCAGGCAGAGCAGAGCCAGAGTCCTTATTAGCAAGAGAGTCCTTGTTAGCCAGGGAGTGAGGGAGTGAGGGAGCTCCCACTTGCTGTTTGGGGCTGGATTTCCAGGATTCTGGCAGGCAGAGTTTTCTGCTGGGCTTTGATCTCTTCAGCAGCAGGGCAAGAATCCCAGGCGTGTTTGAGAAGGTGCCCCTGAGTCCATCCCAGGCCCGTGTTATCTAAGTGCAGATGTTCTACTTGTTGAGCACACAAAACTAAGCAACAATGACTGTGAAGGAAGTGTTTTCCAGCACCCCACATGAGTCACTTGAGCATGTTTACAGTCATCCTCACCAATCTTCTGTTACTTTCCCTTGTTCCACCCCCTTGCTCAAGAGACCACTTCTGCTGGGGTTTACGAAACTGGAGACATTCATTTACGCTTGCAGGGTGCAGTACAAACTAGCTTACAGAGGCATGCAATAAACATATATAGGAAAATATATCTTTACAGTAATGCTCTGAATCAGGTGTCCTGTTCCTCCTATCCAGGAATTAAACCCCTCAACCTGCTGGGCACCATCAGGAGGTTGTTCCGTTTGGTGCATTCAGGCCTGGAGAATGTTGAATGTTGTGCTCTGGGCTGGCTGTTCCATCAGTTGCGTTGAAGCAACGTGTTTTCAAAGCTGAAGCAACATTTCTGGTGTCTGGGGAGGAAAACGTCGACTGTCAGTCAATTTGTGATGTTCATTGGCACATGGCAGTTACCTACTCAGAAAAGACAGCAATGAGACATTAATATCAAAGACACTTAGCACAGCATAATTCTACATCACACATGCTGGGGTTGATGCACCACTGAAACAAGCTGTCTACAGATCTGCAGCTGTTAATGTTCCCTTCGTATTAAATGCAGACAAGTCAGTTGCAGTAGAGGCTGAGCAAATCTGAGTGTTTACATGTTGATTTTGCAGAGATGTATCCAGGGCATGCGCTTGTAGTACCAGGCTACCAAGCATGATGCAACAATTACTGTGAAGGAAGTGTTTTCCAGCACCCCACTTGAGCATGTTTACAGTCCTCCTCACCAGTCTTCCGTTACTTTCCCACAGTGATGGAGCCCTGGAAGAGGCTGCCCAGGGAGGTCGTGGAGTCCCCTTCTCTGGAGATCTTCAAGACAGAATCACAGAATCACAGAATCGCAGTGGTTGGAAGGGACCTCAGAGATCATCGAGTCCAACCAACAAAAAAAACCCACAAAGAACACAAACCACCACCCACCACCTAAACACACAACAACAACCACCAAACCAAAAACCATCACCCACCCACACAGCACCCCACCACAAACCAGTAATCTTGGGCACTAGAGCAGGCCCTGAAGAACCATGTCTACACGTTCCTTAAATACCTCCAGGGATGGTGACTCCACCACCTCCCTGGGCAGCCCATTCCAATGCTGGATAACCCTTTCAGTAAAGAAATGTTTCCTAATATCCAACCTGAACTTCCCCTGGTGCAACTTGAAGCCATTGCCCCTTGTCCTGTCGTCTGTAACTTGGAAGAAGAGACCGACCCCCGTCTCTCTACACCCTCCTTTCAGGTACTTGTACAGAGCGATAAGGTCTCCCCTCAGTCTCCTCTTCCCCAAACTGAACAACCCCAGTTCCCTCAGCCTCTCCTCATAAGACTTGTGCTCCAGACCCCTCACCAGACCTACCTGGATGCTCCTGAATAATGTGCTCTAGACGTTCCTGCTTTAGC